CAGCACAGAACACCGCACAGCACAGAACACCACACTGCACAGCACAGAACACCGCACAGCACAGAACACCACACAGCACAGAACACCACACAGCACAGCACAGAACACCGCACAGTACAGAACACCACACAGCACAGCACAACACACAGCACAGCACAACACACAGCACAGAACACCACACAGCACAGCACAACACACAGCACAGCACACCGCACAGCACAGCACACCACACAGCACAGCACACCACACAGCACAGAACACCGCACAGCACAGAACACCACACAGCACAGCACAACACACAGCACAGCACACCACACAGCACAGCACACCACACAGCACAGAACACCACACAGCACAGCACAGAACACCGCACAGCACAGAACACCACACAGCACAGAACACCACACAGCACAGCACAGAACACCGCACAGCACAGAACACCACACAGCACAGCACAGAACACCGCACAGCACAGAACACCACACAGCACAGCACAGAACACCGCACAGCACAGAACACCACACAGCACAGCACACCACACAGCACAGCACACCACACAGCACAGAACACCACACAGCACAGCACAGAACACCGCACAGCACAGAACACCACACAGCACAGCACAACACACAGCACAGCACACCGCACAGCACAGAACACCACACAGCACAGAACACCACACAGCACAGAACACCACACAGCACAGCACACCGCACAGCACAGAACACCACACAGCACAGAACACCGCACAGCACAGAACACCACACAGCACAGAACACCACACAGCACAGCACACCGCACAGAACACCACACAGCACAGAACACCACACAGCACAGCACACAGCACAGAACACCACACAGCACAGAACACCACACAGCACAGCACACAGCACAGAACACCGCACAGCACAGAACACCGCACAGCACAACACACAGCACAGAACACCGCACAGCACAGAACACCGCACAGCACAGCACACCACACAGCACAGCATAGCAGCAGCCACACAGGGGAGCTGTCCTAGCACCCAGAGTCCCAGCACTGAGCATGTGGCTGTATCATCTCCCTCAGTTGCTGTGGAGTCACTCTGGCTGCTGTCATGAATTTCCGGGAACTGGTGCCTTCAGCTCGTGGACTGATTGTCCCACTCAGTTCTGGAGGTGAGAATGGATTGGTGTCCCGGGTGGGTCCTGGAGGTGAGAATGGACTGGTGTCCCAGGTGGGGTCTGGAGGTGAGAATGGACTGATTGTCCCAGTCGGTTCTGGAGGTGAGAATGGACTGGTGTTTCTGGTGGGGTCTGGATGTGAGAATGGACTGATGTCTTGGGTGGGTTCTGGAAGTGAGAACAGCCTGGTGTCCTGGGGATCTGGAGGTGAGACGGTGCTGAGCTCTCTGCCCCCGTGCCCCTTGCTCCCAGCCTCACTCTCCCCTGTCTTCATCACCTTCCTCTCTCTGTCTCTCTGTTACCTCGGTGCCCCATCCCTGCTGTGGCATCTCTCCGTGTCTCTGTCCACTGTGCTGTCTGTCGTGGGCACTTCTCTGTCCCTTCGTCCCTCTCTATTCCTCCATGCATGTTGCTGTGTGTCTGAGTCGCCACCTCTCAGCGTCTCTCTGTTCCTGTGTCTGTCTGTCCCTGTGCCGTCTCCCTCTTGGTCCCACCTTTCACGTCCAGGGTCTCGGTGGAGGACGGAGGGGCCCATGGTGGTCCGAGGACACTGGCTGGAGTCACCTGACAGGACTCCCCACGGAAGGGCTCAGGCCTGACCCCCGAGGCAGCCCCACCCCGCCTCCCTGCCTCCGCCTGCTCCTCACCGGCCACCCTCTGTGGCCCCGTTACCCCACCTTCTGTGGAAGTTCCCGCCCGTCCTTCCCTTCTGCTGATTTGGGGTAGGGGCACGGCGGCCTGGAATCAGGGACTGTAAAATCATGCCCTGGAATTTGTTGGAAACAGAAAAGCCCCCCATAAAGTCTCCCAGCCCCTCATATTCGATTTCACGAGCCAGTCGTCTGCTAACTGCGGGGAGCAGCCCCCGCGCCCCCAGCCCCATGCTGCCGGGTGGTCGGAGGGGACACCAGGGCAGGAGGGCGCGTTTCCTCTGCTTGAGGACACCAGGCGCTAAGTGACAACGCGCCACCCCGATGACTATCTGTGGGAGGGTGGCCCTCCCCGCTGGGGCCCTGGGACTGATCAGGGAGACAGGAGGCCAGAGACGCCGGGTCGCTGTTGACTGTGAGCCTCCACCACAGACCCCATCAGCCCTCATAGAGCTCCATCCGCACCCTGGTCTGGGCTGCAGCCCTCATTTTCCTCCACAAAACTTCCTCCTGCTCCAGGTTCCCTCACCAGAATAAAAGTCCCCATTGCTCAGATCAAGTGGCAGCTCCTGGTGGTGAGGGCAGGACCTCTGGGGGGTGAGCAGGTGCTGGAATTGAACAAAACAAATTCATTCTTCAAAGTAGTGTTTCTGGAGTGTTGTCTGGGAGGCAAGGTGTAAGCCTGGCCCGGCTCTCCTCACTGGGAAGGTGGAGATGCTACCTGTCTCCTGGGCTGCAGGTAGGATGAACTAATTATTCATGATCAAATCAGCTGCCGGTCAGGCCTCGGTTCAGCCTCAGCTCCGCCCCTTGCTGGATGGGGGTCTGATGGTCAATTTATGTGTCAACTCAGCGAAGGCCCCACCGCCAGTATCCATTCAACCCCGCTTCTAGGTTCTGAGTGAGGGGGTGTTTTATAGAAGACATTCAAGTCCCAAATCAGCAAAGGAGGGTCCAGAGGATCTGGTGAGCCTGGTCCCATCAGTTGAAAGGCCCGAAGAGCAGGGCTTTCCTGAAGAAATCCCACCTGTGGACAGGAGCTTCGGCCGCTGCCCGAGTTCCAGCCCCGCCTGCCCGCCTGCCCCATGGATTCCGGGCTACCCAACCCGCCCCACGGCCGCCTAAGCCAAGTCCTTGCAATAAACCCTTATTATGTGTCTCCTCCTGGTTCTGCTGCTCTGATTGGACCCTGACTGATACGGGAGTTCTGGGCAAGTGTTTCAAGCTGCAAAATGGGAGTAAGAACCTCTTATAAAATGATAAAGTTGAGAGCCATGAAGAGGGACAGGCTAGAGCAGGGGTCCTCAAACTTTTTCTTTCTTTTTTTTTTAATATATTTTATTGATTTTTCACAGAGAGGAAGGGAGAGGGATAGAGAGTTGGAAACATCGATGAGAGAGAAACATCGACCAGTTGCCTCCTGCACACCCCCTACTGGGGATGTGCCCGCAACCAAGGTACATGCCCTTGACCGGAATCGAACCTGGGACCTTTCAGTCCGCAGGCCGACGCTCCATCCACTGAGCCAAACCGGTTAGGGCCTCAAACTTTTTAAACAGGGGGCCAGTTCACTGTTCCTCAGACCGTTGGAGGGCCTGACTATAGTTTAAAAAAAAACTATGAACAAGTTCCTATGCACACTGCACATATCTTATTTTGAAGTAAAAAAACAAAACGGGAACAAATACAATACTTGTATTTGCATGTGGCCCGTGGGCCATAGTTTGAGGACCCCTGGGCTAGAGACTGGGGTCTGAAGCCCTCCCCGCCCCCCCGGCCTACAGCACCTGCCTTTAAACCTCGAGCCAAGGACTTGACATTTCTCCAAAGAAGACCTACGAGTGCCCAACATGCACATGAAAAGGTGCTCCACATCATTAGGGAAATGCAAATCGAAGCCACAAAATCTCACCCAATAGGGTGGCTATCGTCTTTGAAAACTGGAAAATGACAAGGGTTGGCAAGAATCTGGAGAGCTGGAAACCCTTGTGCATTGCTGGTGGGGATGTAAAATGGTGCAGCTGAAGACCAGTCTGGTGGGTCTCAAAAAGTTAAACAGAGAACTGCCCATGACCTAGCCATTCCACTTCGGGGCACACCCGGAAAGCATTGAAAACAGGTACGCAAGCAAATACGTGTGCAGAGCAGTGCTGTTCACAGCAGCCAGCAGGTGGAGGAAGCAGCCAAATGTCCAAGAACCGGTGAGCGGATACACACCGGTGGTAAACACCGCGGAGAATTACTCAGCCGTGAACAGGGAGGAGCTCTGCCACCTGCTGCCACATGGACCAGCCTCCAAAGCACGCTGCTCAGTGAAAGGAACCAGGTGCACAATGTCCAGCAAAGGTGAGTCCATGGAGACTGGAGGCAGATTGGTGGCTGCCAGGGCCTGGGAGGAGGGGGGATGGGCAGTTACTGCTTCCCGGGCACAGAGTGTCCTTTTGGGGAGGTGACATGTTTTGGAACGAGACAGAGGGGGTGGTTGCACAACGTCGTGAATATACTAAATGTCACTGACGTGTCCGCTGTGAAATGTTTAATGTGATGTGATGTGAATTTCACCTCAGTACAAAAGTGTTGTATCTTGTGACCTTCAGGAACAGGCCAAGGGCATCACAGAGGCACCGGCATTGCCATCATTTGGCCGGCGACGCCTTGAAGTCAGCCTTGAGCAGAGAATGGGGTCCACTCCGCCTGCACGTCTGTCCTGCACAGGAGGCGCGAACAAACAGGCGTTGTTTGTGGCAATGTTACGCAGCGTTGCAAACAAATAAAAAAGGGGATCCTTTCACGTAGCCATGGAGCTGGGAGGGAGCTCACAGAAGACCCAGCACCCCCACTTTCCCCAGAAATATCCCCTCTCCCCACCCCTCACCTCCACCCCTCCCTGCACATCCAGAAACCTCTCCCCGCTGCCCTGCCCTACCTCAACTCCCGGCCGCTGCTCTAATTCCCTTCCTTCCCCTACGATACCTGCTCGGCAAATATGCCATGTGACCGGGAGCTCTCCCGGCAAGAGGTGGAAAACAAGGCCAACCGAAGCTCTCAAGTGAAGGCCCGGTCAGAGCTGGAAATACCAGGCGGAGCTGGCACGGGGAACGGCAGCCCCTTGCCAACGCCGTTGAATGAGGTTCTTTAGCCTGGAACAAAGCCCTCCCTTTGAGGACTGACTGCCAACAGGGAGCGCTTTGTTGGGAGCGGAATTTGAGATGCCCGCTGGGATGGGCAGGGGAGAAAGGTGACACCTGCAGGAGCGTCCTGTGTAAATCCTGGATCACAAGAACCAGCATTTCCCCCCTTGTTGGCAAATACGGACGCGTATCGCGCTGACACGCCGCAGCCTCCATCTGATGCGCGGCCCGGGCCCTGGTCTCGAGTTTCCGGCAGGTGATCCCTGCACAGATACGCTCAGACATCCGTGGGTCCTGCCAGGGGAACGGCCCCTTCTCACTCGTCAGCCCTTTATGTTGTTAGAAGAAGGAAAAGCAAATCCCAGTGTTGTTTCCTGAGGCGGAAAACTCAGAGGCGGGAAGGAAGCGTGGGTGACTCCAACGCGGGCGAGAGCTTGTTTATAACACGCCCTGTGCCTCTCACTCCCTCTTTAAGGGCCGGGTCCCATCTTACTCGGAATAAACTCCACCGTCCTACTCTTGGGCCCTCGTTGTCATGTTCCAACTTCCGGCTGCGTCTCTGACCCACCTCCTGCCCTCTGGGCCCAGCCAGGCGGAGCCTGGAACACAGCAGGCACGTTCCGGCCCCAGGGCCTTTGCACAGCTGTTCTCTCCACCCGGGGTTTGTTTCTCTAAATATCCGCCTGACCGAGCCTGTTCTTCTAGCTCGTGCTCAAGAATGTCATCTCCTCAGAGGGGCCTCCCTGGCACGTCTCGCTTCTCTGTGTCACAGGTTGGATGCTTAATCCTCTCCCAGCCTTGGGAGTCGAAGCCCACACTTTGATTCCCATCACCCCTGGCCTCGCCGGAGCATCAGGCCAGCAGAGGGACAATTACAGAACAGGGTGGACCCAGCCACGGCCCCTGCCCTCCCAGGGCTCCGGCTGCGAGGCAGGGTGTGAGGGTCAGCAGGCGAGGATGGGGAGCTGGCTGTTCCCGCGTCTCCAGCCTGCGCTTGCCAAGAGGTCCAGGTGGTGTCGGGCGCTGGCAGGCGCCCCGTGGCTGACCTCCCTCGCTATGATTTTAGGGCCGCTCCGTTTGTCAGCTCGGCGGCGGCATTTCAAAGCTCCCAGGCGTGGGCTCTGAGCTGTGGTCCCTCCTCGGTGATCTCAGCCCAGGGAAGGGAGTCATGACACAGCTAATCCAAAACAGCTGGGACCCGAGGAGCCGCTGACAGCAACGGCCAGTGCGGGCGACTGTACTCGGTCCTGCGACTGTACTGGGTTCTCTTGACGGTACTGGGTCCCCGCGACTGTACTGGGTCCCCTCAGCTGTACTAGGTCCCCGCGGCTATACTGGGTCCCCGTGACTGTACTGGGTCCCCTCAGTTGTACTGGGTCCCCGTACTGTACTGGGTCCCCACGGCTGTACTGGGTCCCCTTCGGTTGTACTGGGTCCCTTCAACTATACTGGGTCCCCTCAACTGTACTGGGTCCCCGCAGCTGTACTGGGTCCCCGGGGCTGTACTGGGTCCCCGGGCTGTACTGGGTCCCCTCAGTTGTACTGGGTCCTCTCAGTTGTCCTGGGTCCCCTCGGCTGTACTGGGTCCCCTCAGCTGTACCGGGTCCCCTCAGCTGTACTGGGTCCCCAGGGCTGTACCAGGTCCCCTCAGCTGTACTGGGTCCCCGCAGCTGTACTGGGTCCCGCAGCTGTACGGGGTCCCCAGGGCTGTACTGAGTGCCCGTGACTGTACTGGGTCCCCTTCGGTTGTACTGGGTCCCTTCAACTATACTGGGTCCCCTCAGCTGTACTGGGTCCCCGCGACTGTACTGGGTCCCCTCAGTTGTACTGGGTCCCCTCGGTTGTACTGGGTCCCTGTGACTGTACTGGGTCCCCGTGACTGTACTGGGTCCCCTCAGTTGTACTGGGTCCCTGTGACTGTACTGGGTCCCCTCAGTTGTACTGGGTCCCCGTGACTGTACTGGGTCCCCGCAGCTGTACTGGGTCCCCAGGGCTGTACTGGGTCCCCGTGACTGTACTGGGTCCCCGTGACTGTACTGGGTCCCCTCGGTTGTAGTGGGTCCCCTCGGTTGTAGTGGGTCCCCGCAGCTGTACTGGGTCTTGAGTGCACAGCCAGGGGAGCACTTGACATCCGCTTTCTCCTCTTTTGTAAACTCATTTTTCATGGTAATGAGTCTACTTTGTATGAAAAGTGTTTCTCCTTTACTTGCAGAATAGGCCTGCCTACCCCAGCAGGAGTGCACCTGTCGGAAACATCCCCAAGCTCCCTCTCACATCAACCCCAAGACCGCCCCCCCGCTCCAGTGGCCCCCAAGCTGTATGCGCAGGACGGGCCCCTTCCTCTTCATGCCCTGGGTTCCACTGCCCAGCACAGCGCCTGGATGACCGTAGCAGCTCCATACACGTTGGTCAAGTGGCTCAGACCTCAGAGAGCTCAAGGTCCACCTCCTGGGAATCCAGCCTGACTGCTTGGAAACCCTGACCTCTGCCTCCTAGTGCTTCTCAGGTTCGTGGGCATCCATGGAAAGAGTGCTGGGGGTGGGGGACGTGAATACAAGGCCGACAGGCCCTCCTCACCACAGGGTCCCCGGTCCAGTCCTGACTTGGGCACAAAGCACTGTGTGACCTCCTGCAGGTGTCATGGCCTCTCTGGGTTTTATTGCTCCAAGTGCAAAATGGAAGCGAGCCTCACACCTAATGGAATGGAAGAGTCCTTGTAGCTCTGCATGTGGTTCTGTATCAATGAGGACTTCTTGGCTGAGAGCGACAGAAAACCCCACTCACATCCGTTAGAGAGGAGCAGGAAGGACTGTTGGAGGAGCTGGGAAGGATACTGATTCAGGTATGGCTTGGTCCAGGGGCTCTGACAATGTCATCCTTTCTGTCTAGTGTATTTCCCTCCACCTGTCAGCGCTGCTTTCCTTTCACATTCTCATGCAGACTCTCCCTTGGGATGGCAGGGAGGCTGCCAGCACCCCAGGCTTCATGCTGTCCCCCCAAAGTCCCCAACAGGAAGAGTGATTCTCTTTACCCCAGAGCTAATGCAGAAGGGCCCATGTTGGCTCTGGTTGGATAAACCTGGGTTACATGCTCATCCCTGAACCAATCCCTGTAGCCAAAGGGGTGGATAGAATTCCCTGATTGGCCGAGCCGGTGTCATGGGACCACACCTGGATGTGGACTGAAGCTGGGGTAAGAGTTGTTTCCCAAAGAAAATCCCAGAGTTGTTTCCAGACGGAGGGGAACAGATGCTGGACAGGGAAACATTTAAAAAATCCATGGCAGAGTCGGAATTACACTGTGCAATCAACCATCACAGAGGTTTGCCTTCTGCAAATGTGTGTTCCTCTGCGGGTCCAGAGATGCCCCACTGGGCACCAAAGCCAGCCAGGAATTGCCTGCAGGGACAACCCCACATGCTCGGATTTCTTCCCTCTCTCTACTGCAATATTTTCCTCTCAACAATCATCTCCCCATTCCTCCCCAGCCCTCAGGGGAGTGTCCAGGCTTGCTTCCTCGGAGCAGGTGGTATATGAGGCCCCTCTAAGAGGTCCCTGAAGGCTTCTCTCACCCTCAGAAGAACCTGGGAGGCACCTGAGTAACTTTTACTGAAGAAGATGGTTACAGGTTGTAGGTGCTTCCTCCGGCTGCTGTAACAAATTACCACAAACCTAGTGGCTTAAAACATAACTTATCTCCATACAGTCCTGGAGGTCAGAAAAGGGGTCTCCTTGGACTAAAATTAAGGTGTTAGCAGCCGGTTTCTCTCTGGAGGCTCCAGGGAGCATGGGTTTCCTGCCTCCTCCAACCTCTAGGGGCTGCCCACACTCCTTGGCTCATGGCCCCTTCCTCCGCTTTCAATGCCAGCTGCAGAGCATCTTCCAATTTCCATCCTGCCTCTGACCCTTCTGCCAGCCTCCTAGAAGGGCCCTGTGGTTGCATGGAGCCCGCCCGGGGAATCCAGGACAGCCTTGCCATCTCAAGGTCCTTAGTCACATCTGCAAAGATGTGAGGTCACATCCTCATGGGATTAGGCCGTTATTCCACCTACCCCAAGGTCATTTCATGCACTCCCCTGCTGCCTGCTCCTTTATCCAGACCATCCAGTGAAAATTTGCTTTAGGTTACAAACTGAGGCTTGCAGTGGGTCGGAACACACACACACACACACACACACACACACACACACACACACACTCCTTGCCTTCTCTAGCTTGCCTACAGTGTGGCACACACACAAATTCGTTCATTCATTCAATTAACACGTATGAAGCATCTACTATGTGCTAGGCACTGAACTTACCACGAGGGTGTGATGGAGACAAAGACACACAGGGTCCCCCCTATGGAGGTTACCGTCCAATATGGGACATAAGCATCAAACCAAGTAAGTACTCACCAACTCGTTCATTAATCCACGCAGCCTGTACTTATTAAATGCCTGAAATACCCTGGCCCTGAAGGAGACAGGCCCGTCCCTGTCTCATGGAGGGTGCACTCTGAGGTGGCAGACAGACAATTAGACAAGCAACGACAAAGGAGGGTGGGGTGGGAAGAGGGACCAGTCCAGATGGGGGTGTTGACCAAAGGAAAGGGGAGAGGGGCTGCCTGTCGGTTACACACTGCGGCGTAACAAACCACCCCAACGCAGACACTTCTCACAGCGCCCCCTCATTCCCAGGGGTGTGGAGGCCACTGCAGAGTGCTGCTGACCTGGGGTGGTCTCCACTGATGAGGCTGGAGATGCGAGGACCTGCCCAGGTCCCCCTCTTCTGTGGGACGCTTCTAGCATCACCCCACATCTGACCATGGGGGGAAACTCCTCTGCTGGCGAGGTCTCCCGGCAGCAGCCCCGGGTTCCCCTCTCCTTCCAGCCCTGGTCCCCTTTGCAGGGCAAACCTGCCTCCAGGAGCCGAGAACAGACAGCCACGGCCCCGCCAGGCTCCAGCCCCGCCCCCCCCCCCTTAATGTAGGAGAGTGGAGCACGGAGAGGTTTTTATCTTATGCCGCCATCTTGGAGGGCCTCTGGGGTCTTTCTTAAATGTTCTCCCTGAGGCTCCTGTGAAACGCCAGGAAGCCGCCGCGCCCTCGCAGAGCTGGGTCCTGAGCAGGAGGCCAGGGAGGATCTCTCTAGATTTGCAGTAAAATCCGACCTTTGGTTCAACCCGGCTTAATGAGTACGTGAGCTGACAAGGCCCTGCGGTCAGTCCCCAGAGCTGCTTGGGGCGAGGCCTTTGGCCGGCCGTGGGGCCAGCCCCTCCCCGTGATCTCAGTGTCCCTCCCAGTCCCCACAGAACCTCGGGGCCGCTGGGGGGCGGCAGTTTGGGAAACAGACTTCGGGTCTCTGGCCGCGGGAGGTGGAAATGCTGAGCTGGGAGAGGCCGAGGGCGGCGGGCGTCTGAGGGGCCCGCGGGGCCATTCCGACGCACATGACACTGTGGCTCTTCACAGGCCGCTCCAGTGCCGGCCACCTGGGCCCCCACCTGCCACTCCCGGCTCTGGGATGTAAATGGCTGCTGCTCACCCACGGAAAGGTGTTGGGGGCGGAAGGGGACACG